GCTAAGATTTGCTGAAGACTTCAGAATGTTGTAATTTCCTACCTTCAGCTCCCTCCCTGCTTGAGCTCAATCTGAAGTAACGTAGGACATTGATTACAAATGTCACTCTTGTTACCCTCCACTCCTGAGCCATTTTCTCTTCCACCCTCCATTCCCTTTTCTAACTCTCAGACTATTCTGTCCCCTCATCACAGTTCTTTCCCTCTATCACGTGGGAGGGCAGGCAATTGCCAAAAAGAGAGAGGCCCCTGAGAACCAATTACATGTTTACTGGAGAGCAGCTTTAAATGAGCAAGACATAGCAGGCCCCCAAGGAAACTGTGTTTTTCAAAGGCGGTTTCCTGAACGGTTGGCTTGACCATAAATGGAGCAGAAACCAAAAGAACCAAATGGAGCCCACCTTTCCATCCCCTTGGAGACAAATGCTCTCCATTTCACCAACCATCTCAAGCCCCAATTCCTAGTCTCTTCTCCATAACTCACCTGAAAATTCTAATTTCTCTGCAACATCCCTAAATTCCCCATTACCAACAGTGGTCCTCCCAGGAGCCTGCTCTGAACTTTCATTCTCCAATTTACAGCCTCCAAATTGCCCTCTTACCATCCCAGGCAATTGTTTCAATAGGTACCACTCTTAGTAGGGGTGTTTTATATAGGTAAGCAAAGTCTTGCCAATGCTGAGCCTGATTTAAGGAGAAGGAAGCTGCCATGATGTTACAAAATGAAGTTCAAATGGTTATGTAGTGTTTCAATATCCTTCCTGACCAAACTACTGTCTGACAACTGTGTCTCCAACTACTCCCTTTTTTGAAGCTTCTACAGAAATCAGGCTGATATATTTATTTCTCATCCCTAGGAGTGTGTTGAAGGCACTTCTGTGTCATTTATCAAACTCAGACCCTTAATTCAGTTCCACTTTCTCCCTGACCAACAGAGAACACTTTTTCTCTGAACTGCTCTGTCTACTGTCTGTAGCTCACAGTAAATGCCACCCTATTTTTTCTTGGCAGGCAGGAGGGGTTCTCTTAATCATTTATTTTTTTCATCAAACTGCAGCATATGCTAAAAGGAAAGTGTATGTGTCTTGAAAACAAAACTTTCAGAAAAATTTAGTATTTTTTAGTTAGCCTAAGTTATTATGACTTTTAATTGACAGCTTAAAACTGTATATATTTATGATGTATAACATGATGTTTTGATATATGTATACATTATGGAATGACAAAATCAAGCTAATTTACATGAGCCATTACCTCACATACTTACCATGTTTTTGTGATGAGAACACTCAAATCTACTCTTTTAGCAATTTTTACATATACAATTCTTTAACTATAGTCATGCTTTCATACTGAATTATCCCTCCTGCCTAACTGTAATTTTTGTAACCTTTGACCAATATTTTCTCAATTCTCTCCCTTTCTGCCAACCCCTGGTAACCACCATTCTACTCTCTGTTTCTGAGTTTGACTTTTTGATTTCATATATAAGGAAGATCATGCGGTATTTGTCTTTCTGTGCCTGACTTATTTCACTTAACATAAAGCCCTCTAGATTCATCCATGTTGTTGCAAACAACAGAATTTCCTTCTTCTTTGAGGCTGAATAGTATTCCACTATGCATATATACCACATTTTCTCTATTCATTCATCTTTTGATGGATGCTTAGGTTTACTCCATGTCTTGGTTATTGTGAATAATACTACAATGAACATGAAAGTGTAGATACCCCCTCAAGATACTAATCTTATTTCCTTTGGATACATACATAGACAAGGGATTGCTAAGTCATATGATAATTCTATTTTTAATTTTTTCAGAATTTTTCAGAAACCTCCACAGTGTATTTAATGACTGTACTAATTTATTCTTCCACCAAAAGTGTATAAGAGTTCTCCTTTTCCACATTCTCATCAACACTTATCTTTCATCTTTTCTATAACAGGCACTCTAACAAGTGTGAGGTGATATCTCATCGTGAATTTAATTTGTATTTCCCTGATGACTAGTGAGGTTGAGCATTTTTTCAAGTACCTGTTTGTCATTTGTATGTCTTCTTTAGAGAAATGTCTATTCAGGTGCTTTGCTCGTTTTAAAATTGATTTATTTGTTTTCTTGTTATTGATTTGTTTGAATTCCTTATATAACTTGAATATCAGCCACTTCCATGTATCATTTACAAATATTTTCTCTCAACCTGTGGGTTGTCTTTTCACTCTATTGTTTCCTTTGTTGTGGAGAAATGTTTTAATTTGATGCAATCCCATTTGTTTACTTTTGGTTTTGTTGTCTGTGATTTGAGGATCATATAGAAGAAATCTTGCCCAGACCAATGTCATGGAACATTTCTCCTATATTATCTTCTAATAGTTTTACAGTTTCCAGTCATATGTTTAAGTCATTAATCCATTTTGAGTTAATTCTTATATATTGAATGTCATAAGGGCCCAATTTCATTCTTCTGCATGTGGATATTCAGTTTTTCCAACATCATTTATTAAAAAGACTTTTTTCACCATTTTGTGTTCTATTTATATGATCATATGGTTTTATCCTTCATTCTGTTAATGTTGTATATCACATTTAATGATTTGTGTGTTGAACCATCCTTGCACCTCAAAGCTAAATCTCACTTGATCCTGGTGAAAGATCCTTTCAATATACTATTGAATTTGGTTTGATAGACAAACACAACCTCAGAGAGAATTCAAGTTTAAGATGGGAACGTCTGACTAACCTTAATTTTTAGAGATTTTTTAGCAAACTTTTTGTCAAAATACTTTTTATGAACTTTTTAAGGTCGTCAGTCCAGACCGCATTCCCATGAATAAAGACAAAGATCTGTGGGGAGTAGATGTTTTGTATTGTTAATCATCCGGTGAGAGGTTAATCCTGGAGTACAAATGAGGTCTCCAAAAGTAGGTGCTATATTAGCATGAAAAATACATTTCTACCTTCCTTTGTGTCCTGGGGTCAATTTGGCCTAAACTGAAACATGTGAAAAGATTATAAGCAGTTCCAAATGAGACGAAATACACCCTTGGCCACATGAATTACCTGGTGGAATTCAAGTGTATGTGGATCAGCATAATGGCACATAATTCTCTGCATTACATTTACTTCCCATTAAGTTAGAACTATAGCAAATTATTCCATAAGCTACAACTTGATCTAGGTTGTACTAGGAGAATTCTAAGAGGGCCTGTACCCTTGCTTAGGAAAAGCAGGTACAGGGGACAGTGGTTGCTGTTCCCACAGCCAGGGTGGAGAAAGCAATGCCAACCACTGCAAAGGATAACTAAATAAAAAGAGGCAGTCAGCACTCACAGAGCAGTAGCTTGAAGGCACAGAAAAGACACAGGAGAGGAAGGACCAGAGGAGTCATTCCCAAACGCATCTTGCAAACTCTCAGAAATGGCTATGGGATGCTTTACAGGTGCTAACTCCAAGCTCAAGTTTGACAACCATTTATGTTGTTTGGTCTTGGTCACGTATATATTCTACTTTGTATCAGTAATTCCAGTTGGAAAAGAAAACACACATTTCCATGAGTCTCCCATGTTAATAGAATATTTCATAAGCACGAGCTCAGTGATGTTTTCTGGTTATTTGTTCCTTAGACCCCAGCCTAGGCATCCTAGGCAATCTGAATCCATGGAATCTTTAATAACAGTACATCATGGACCTAATCCAAAATATTGTTTGATCTCATATCTTTGAAAACTTCTTGAGGATTAACAATACATTTTAATACAAAAGAGATAGTATTCAACCCAGCAGGATTTTACAAAAACAAATTACAGCTCTTTGTGGTTTCTGTTAGAGATTTACATAGTCTTGCCATTTAGATTTCCTCTTCACTAGACTACAAATTAGAAGTAAGTATTATCCAGGGCAGATGGCATATCCTATTTGTCTTTATATCCCAAGAATATTTTAGCTGTGTCATAAATGATTAGTGAATAAGCAGAAATGCATAAATGGACGAAGGAAAAAATTAAAATGGTCATTTGATTCATAATCCCTGGCCTTCTGAAAATATATTAACACAATGTCCAGTTGAAAAGAAAGTTCCAAAGATTCCACCAGTAGACATGACTAGCAATAGAGCTGACCTTCATTATTTGTGGATTCAGTATTTGCAAAATCACCTGCTCCCTAACATCTATTTTTAACCCCTAGATCAATACTCACAGCACTTTCGCAGTCATTCATGAACAAGTGCATGAACACAGTGACAAAAAATTTGAGACACACTACATGCATCCCCACCTGATGCTGAACAAGGAAACATTCTGTCCTCTTGTTTCAGCTATCATACCATCAACAAGTGTCCTTTTCATTATTTCACGATTTGCTGAATGCCACATTTTTCACAGTTTTTGTTTGTTTTTTGGTGATTTCATAATTCTAAATAGCCCCAAATGCAGCACTGAAGTGCTGTCTCGTGCTCCTAAGCACAAAAAGGCTGCGATGGATCTTATGGAAAAAATGCATTTGCTAGATAAGCTCTGTTCAAGCATGTGTTATAGGGCTGTTGGCTGTGGATTCAAAGTTAATGATCAATGATATATCTCACATAAGATGTGTTTAAACAGAAACACACTTACAATAAGGTTATTTATTGATCAGGTGACAAAAATGTGACAAAAAACTCATAGGAATCGAACCCTGCATCTCCCCTAAAGCAAGGAGAGATTTAGTATTTGCTCCTACAGGGTTCAAGGCAACTTTATAGAATGTAACTGCAGTGAATAATAACAATCAGCTGTGTCTGCATTTTAAAGTTAAGAAATATGAGTCTCGGGAAAGTGAAATGAATTGTACCAAGTTATAGAGTAGGTTAGTCATGGAGCCAGGATTAAAACCCTAGCCTAGTTCAGTGCTCTGTCAGTTATACCTTCAGTTCTGAAAATGCAATAAGAAAAGATAAAATACAGAATTCAGTCGGCCAGTGACCCACAATCCTCTTCTCTCGGTTCCTCTTTCCTCGCTCAAGATGGCGCTGCTCGCAAAGCGTTTTTGGTGTTGGGCGTCAGCAGCGGCTGCTTTCGAAAAACGCCAGCACTCAGCGATTCCAATCCCGTCTTTAGTCACTGTTAGCAGCTCAGGTCTGCAATGGAGGTCACATCAACTCGGCGCCTTGGGAACCCCTCCAGCCTACTAGCAGGACCCAAAGTCATTGCAATGTATCACATGGCAGAGAGTGGGAAAAGACAATTCAAGGCAGTTCTTAGCTGTTGCCAAGGCTCTCCAGGCATGGCCACTGATAGAAAAGAGGACATGTTGGCATGGTCATGCAGGAGGAGGACTCCACACAGACCCAAAAGAATGATTAAAAGATGTTGATACTCAGAAAATCATAAAAGCAATGGTTTCTTATGTGTAGCCCAAAGACAGGCCAGATTTACGAGCTAGAATTGCCATTTCTCTGAGATTTTGGGGTGGTGCAAAGGCCATGAACTTTGTGGTTCCCTTCACGTGTAAATATGCTGTAGACAGCCTCAACCAGATGTTGGGAAACTTGCTGAACCTGAGTGATGCACCAAATACAGTTGCAACCATGGCAACAGCAGTTCTGATTGGCTGTGGTGTATCAAGAGCCGGAGCTGCTGTTTTTAATGAAGATCGAAATGCAATATTTGGCAAGTTAGCCCAAAATTCAATCCGAAGAATAGCCAAAAATGTCTTTCTCCGTCTTCACAACCTGGATCTGGGTTTTCACCTGAGCAGACAGACTGGAGCTTTATCTAAGGCTATTGACAGAGGAACAAGGGGTATCAGTTTTGTCCTGAGTACTTTGGTGTACCTGAGTACTTTCTTCCTATTATGTTTGAAGTGATGCTTGTCAGTGGTGTTTTTTATTACAAATACAGTGCCCAGTTTGCTTTGGTAACCCTCGGAACACTTGGTACACACACAGCATTCACAGTTGCAGTCACACAATGGAGAACTAGATTTAGAATAGAAATGAACAAAGCAGATAATGATGCAGGTAATGCTGCTATAGGCTCACTGCTGAATTATGAAACTGTGAAGTATTTTAATAATGAAAGATATGAAGCACAGAGATATGATGGATTTTTGAAGATGTATGAGACTGCTTCATTGAAAAGTACCTCTACTCTGGCTATGCTGAACTTTGGTCAAAGTGCTATTTTCAGCGTCGGTTTAACAGCTATAATGATCTTCACTAGTCAGGAAATTGTGGAAGGTACCCTTACTGTTGGAAATCTAGTAATGGTGAATGGACTGCTTTTTCAGCTTTCATTACCCCTGAACTTTCTGGAAACTGTATACAGAGAGACTAGACAAGCACTCATAGATATGAACACCTTGTTTACTATACTCAAGGTAGACACCCGAATTAAAGACAAAGTGATGGCATCTCCCCTTCAGATCACACCACAGGTGATTTTTTTCTTTGAGGAAGTGATATGGTGTGTATTGAGTGGGGCCATTTGGCTTTGCTTCTGGGTGTCAATGGCGAAGACTCTTTGATTTCCTTGGTTATAGTCTGTTTGGCGGCTTTCTCAAAGGAGGTCGTAGTTAGCAGCATACAAGGTGGGTGAGTGGCTCATGGCCTCCTGGTTAGCTTGGGTGTTGTGGGCACTGATGGTGGCAGCAGTCAGAAAAAGCTTGCTTCCTTCCTGAGCACCATGCACTTGTGTCAGCAGGTGTTGTAAAGGGCCGTACAGGTTGACCTCCCAGACAGTAGGTGAGCTTGTAGGTGAGAGCGCTGTGGTAGTGGCAAGAGGGTTTATGTCTGGTGATCTGTGCCTTCCTAGAAATAATGGTTTTCTGTTCTGGTATGGTTTTTCATTTTTTCATGAAGTTATTTTTCAAATACATGGGATTTTCATAAATAATAATGTAATAAAACTTGTACCAGTGCACTGCCAAGAGTGAGACAATGGCAGCAGTTTGTCCAGGTGGAGGCAATAAGGCATTGCCTGTAGATAATTTTAAAACAATAATAAAACCAACTAAAGTTGCTCCGCTTTATATTACACCTTTGCAGTCACTATTCTAAGTAATGTCAGTCACAACGTACTCCTCCCCACTTCATACACAAAAATCTTTTGTTGGTCTAAGTTACTATTCCTGCAGTTACCATTGTCTTTTAATAACGTATCTGTAATATTCAAATTAGCACATTTTTATTACTTAAACTTTAGTAAACATATTCTACCTGGAAGCTAATTCAAATAACTCTCTTAAATAGGTGGCATTGCACATTTCAGACTCAACTACCAGCTAAGCGACTTATTTTAACAATTAACAATTGTTGATTGGACAGTAAGAATTTGGAATCTCCAGCTCATTTCAGGACTTAGTTCATTTCTCTAACTTCTACAGTACTACTTATGTCTTACTTTGAAACAATAGATTATGAATAAACAATGACAGTATAGTGACTAATGATAGAAAAACAGAATTGACTTACTTCAATTCCATCTCTGTTGCCACTGGAGTTTTTATGTGTGTTTAAAGCTAAATTAGTAAAACAATTTGTGAGGTGTAATTTTTTGTATTTGGTAAGTACACATTTTAGTTATATGTAAAATGAATATGAATATTTTCATTG